ATCTCGTTTAAATAAAAAATAAATTTGAACCGTTCATTGTAATTTGATCTTAATCGTACGATCGCACCTGATGAGAGAACGGATCCGGACCGTCTACCCGGGCAGGAACAAATCTGGACCGTCCGATCGCTTGCACGCGGATTACCAGCGTGGCCTTCTGCATAGCACTGCGTCAGCGTGCCTTGTCACGCGAGGCACTCTGATTTATTGGGGTTACTGACTGGACGGTTCTATGTGACATATTTTTTTAAATTACGTTTTAACCCCCAATTTTCAATTTTTCTTTCAAAAATATTTTTAGAACCCAAATTTTCACATATTTTTTCTAAAATTATTTTTAATTTCATTCTCCACCTATTTTTTCTAATTTTTTACATTAAATAAAAATTTAAAAATTAAAAAAAAAATATGTTTTATACATTAATTTTCTTCTCGTCTCATCTCAATTAATTTTTATTTTTATTTTATTTTTAATTCCAATAATTATACCATCAACACTTGGACTATGGGCGATCAAAGAGTATGTAAATAGGCCACATGCAAGTGGGTTATTTGGTAAATATGGAGCAAAAAAAATTATAACTTTTAAGTAAAATAATAACCAGATTACTTACATTTTATAGAAACCTTGATATAAACCCTATACTATAACAAGTGACTTTTAATATATTCATTAATGCAGCATTATATTTACTCATAAGTAATGTAATCATAGTACTAACAATTTTTTCAAAGAGAATCGTCAATATCCTATCAAATGAAATCTTGATGTATAAGTGTTTACATAGTTCTTTTAACCACTATATAATAGTGGTGAAAATTTTTATAATCTCTCTCATATCCCGTAGTAAATGTAATTAATTAACCACGTGGGGTGTGTTATACATATCTAATACATATAATTTCTTATTAATTAATTAAAGTTGAAATAAAAGGGTCATCGAGGGATGAGAAAGGCAATATAGGGTACGTTTTAGTTAAGAAGAAGAGGTAAGTCTGTGATGAGTTGTTTGTTTTGACAGAAAACTGTGGGGTTGTTGTTCTATCTGGGAAAATTTCTCTTTACACGCCACTTCCATTTTAGGCACCCTTTCCCCACCTTTCATTTTCTCCCTCTTCTCCCAATCTCCCTCTCTCTCTCTCTCTCTCTCTCTCTCTATATATATATATATATGTGCTTACTTTGTTGAGTTGTACTGTTGGTTATTGGAGAGAGAGTGAGAGAGAGGTCATTCACATGCATGCATGACGATGATGATGATGATGAGGGTTTGATGTTGATATTGACGATGCCATGCAAAGCTAGAGATAATCGATTCTCTTACTCTACTCCCTATAAAGAGATCAGTTGATGTGATGCTATATAAAATATATGTATATGTATACATATGCATCCAGCTTTTAGTACGCTGTTCATCCAAGAAAATGTCTTAGGATCATCTTGTGTAAAGAACTTTTAGTCAAGTCACCTCTCTTTTATATTTAACAAAACCAATGAATGGTACTCTACATGTGTAATATTCATATATATATGTATATATGTGGACACACACACACGCACACACACATGCAATGGTTGACTAAGGGTCAACGCTGATTTCTTTTTAAACCTTTGGTTGACCAGTTAATGTTCGTGAAATTTAACTGATAATTCTTTATATAATTTAAAATATAAATTATCAAGTATACATGCAATATTTAAAAGATTACGCAGGAAATTATACATCAAACTCAGAAACATGATGATTCATTTTCCTGGAAAATCCTTAGATCTACAGCGTACTTGACTGATTTCTAACCAACCAAACAAAAACTAAATAAATAATAAATGGAAGAACTGCATTAACTTTTACCATTTAAAGGAGACCAAAATAAACCATTGTACACTTTCGTATTGTCTCCATACGAGATTACACTGTTTAATGGAGTTTATACATAATTTCATTTTAAATTTCAATTGTAAAAAAAAAAAAAAAAAAAAAAAAAACTTGAGGAAAGGACCCATTGAGGTCACAAAAAGAGAGAATCCAAGGGAAGAGAAGCTAACTCACATGACAAGACCATTGATTGTATAATTTAATGAGTGAGTTTTATTGTCTCGTCTTTCGTGGTACAATAATTTACCCCAATAAAATAATTATGGAAATACCCTTATCTCCATTTCTCTCTTATCACACACCCACACACTCTCACACACACACACACACACACACACATATATATATATATATATATCATTTTTTTATTAGTTTACATTTAATTCTAAAGTGTACGTCAATTTAGAAATTTAATTATATATAGTTAGCTTATAAATTTTATCCTTAAAAAATGCATATGGTTAAATAGAAAACATATTATCACTAATTGAACAAATTTTTCTTGGTTTGTTTAGTTCCATGTTTTTGTTTTGTTTTGTTTTTTTTTATATCCATCCACTCATTTTCATATATCATACTTTTGAAGTCCATTTTTAAACTTTTAAGCCCAAAAATAAATTGGGATACCCTCCCTTGAGCCCAATGGATTATCACTTAGGGCCTACCGAACTATTATTTAAGCCCATAATAGACTTAAGCTCAAAATCAATAGTTGGTCTCTTAATGGGCCCCCAAATGGAATATAAACTTAGATTAATATTAAATATTATATTTTGCCCAAGAAGAATATGAAATTCAGTAAGAACCCCACAATTTCTCTCCTCCTCCACTTATACCCTCTGCTAATAATAGACTTGGCATTCAATAATTATATTCATCGAATTCTTAATCAAATAAAATCATCTCATTTTTGTACCTATATGTCTTTAATTTAATTATAAATATACCAAAACAAACATACTATATATATATATATATAAAAGACAGTAAGAATTCAATTACTTAAGCATAAACTTTTTTCTGATCAGTCAGAAAAAAAAAAAAAAAAAAAAGTTACAAACAACTGCTCGTAATTTACAGAAGCTAAAACGCAGCATTTCAATGCCCTTTTTTTTTTTCAAAACATTACCCCTTAATTCTAGAATAATTACGACTCAGGCACACGCTTCTCTTCTCATCGCCGACGGGACTTTGAAATTGAACAAGACCTCGAGATCAGGAGGCTGAAAATACCCTTTCGTCGGTGGGTCCCGCTTCACCGCGTAAACCCTCTTCTTTCTCGGCGCCGGCGGACACGCCGCCGTAGCCTGAATGCTAGACGCGCCTCTCCTCGGTGTCCTGCAACCTTCATGCTGATCCTCAGTCAAAACTCCGACGGTGACGGACTCCCGATGGCCACTGTCAACCTCCATGAATCTTTAGAGAAGAACGCCCGACAAAACAGAAGGAACAGTTTATGGAAGTACAGAGATTATAAGGGATTGTTTGGATATACCTTAAATTGCAAAGACTATAAAGTACACAGTTCAAGGGTCATTGGGCTTACGGAATACATACATAGATATATATATGCGTGTGTGCGTTGATGTTATTTATATATTTAAGAAAATATTGGCGCCACTTGCTTGCTCTGGAAGTTGCTAGTTGACACTTATCCAAACGTGTGGCGGAAGCCTGGAAGCAACTATAAAAGTCCCATTGGATTGGACTCAGAGCTGGAGGGGTTAAAACTAAAAAGTCGGATAGTAGTGCCGACCTTACTTTTATGGGATTTTAATTATTTATTGATCTGAATCATTATATTTTATTTAAAATAATTTTAGAATTAATTGAACTTTATAAATTTTTCTTCTAATTTATCTAAAATTTTAATATTAAATTATAATTAATGATATTTTTTATTTTTAAAATTTGTGCTTCTTTTTTGTTGGGTGAAATTTATAATAATACATTTATCCTATAGTGAAACCGTCCTTTCGTGGCAAGTTTGGACGAGGCGTGGCGACAGCTATTGGTGTCGAAAGTGCGCGCGAGATTGTTCGACTAGTCCATAGTTTAAATCAGAGCCACACATTTTTCGGCTTCGTCCAGAGTGGGACCCGCTCAAAGTAGGCCAGGACTTGGTGTGGAAGAGAATGTGCCACGTGTAAAGTGCATTGTCTTCTAATTATAAAACTGCGTCGTTTTTTATTGGACCACCGACCAGGCTTAAGTAATAAATTCCGAGGCCCACGCCACGCGACGGTGTTGACTGATCAGAGAAAAGCCGGGGCTTTATGGTTAATGGAGCCTGTATTTGGATGGTCTGAACTGAGGCCCGTTTCAATTGGGTTCGGATCCAAGACTGTATTTTACATGGACTTGTACCCGACCCGATTGTTTAATTGGAGCCCATTCTTGAAATAGCCTTGTAAACCTCCAAGTGGTAAATTGGCATTTGGGCTAACGACCCGCCAACAGCCCAATTCTTATTACCACATTTATATTTGTATGTACATAAAAACACATATATTTGGTTAAACTTGTTTTTTATTTTTTCCCCTTAATATTAATTTCATGCATTCAGTAATTTTTCTCCCATATTGTCTTTGATACACACACACGCACACAAAGTTTGGTCTGATCATCAGCAGATTAATCCATCTCGTTAAGAATATTAATTATTTTTATAATTAATTCAATACGTGTATAAATCTTATTTCTCACTGCATTAAGACATTCATCAAGTAAATTTAATCTCTTTTATAAACATGTTTCTATTAATTAAATTAATTATAAAATAATAGAAACAGAAATTTAGAATCCAAATCTGTTCAAAAATTCAGCATATATTTGTTACCAAAATTTGGACCGGAATTCGGTTCAAACCTTGATATGAATTATTTTCATGCTTATTTACATTCTAGTCAAGCACACGGTGATAAATGTAGGACTTGGAAATATTTGTTTCAACACTAAATTATATATATTCATTAAAAAGTACATTATATGTATAATAATTTATATTATCATTAGATGTGAGGTACCGGGTGGGACCATGGTCCACATCAGCAGTCGGGTCAACCCGGTTACGCCAGACCTGTTTACTTAGCCGGAGCTCCATTGTCATGCTGTGAGCTAAGTTCCCTGCTTCCCGTAAGAAGACGAAGCCCATCGACTCTAATTCATATTTCTCCTCGTTTCTTCTTCTCCGTGCTTCGTCTGCAGACACAGAGCTTCAAAAATGCCGTTTATATCGCAGATACAGAGACAATCAGATTACAGTCTCTTCTCTCCATCCACTCCTATCGTCATCGACAATGGCGCCTCCTATTTCCGTATCGGGTAACCCTCTCCAAACCATAAACCCTAGTTCTGCGCTTTGGAGTATAAACCATACGTTAGTATCTCTTTTTGCTTTACCTTTCTGAATTTTTGAATTGGGTGTTTGTTTTGTTTTTTGTTTTCGTTTCTGTTCTCCTCCTCCAGGTGGGCAGGAGAGAATGACCCTCGCGTTATCTTCCGCAACATTGTTCAGAGACCACGCCACAAAGCCACTGGTACTTCCTTATACTACGTTTAAGTTATGATGAACTAGAATATTATGTGTTTTCGTACGTATATGTGGACGTATGTATGTGGCTTTAATTTGGTTAACTGGAAAATCGGGGAAAAAGGGAAGGGAAGTGTATATATGCAAGCTTCGGATATTCAGGACCTGGGATTTTTGTAGAATTTAAACAAAATAATCAGCTTCATTTAATTCTACGAACTCCTAACTTCATCTTTCGATTATGCCATAAAAAAGAAAAAAGAAGAATTTTTTCTCTGTATACTAACAAGCTCGAAACAAAAAGAGAGAAGGATTCCTAGATATAGTTTTAGGTTCATGAAAATTGATTCAATAGTTTTTACTTGGTTTGGGTTTGACGAGGCTATTGGATTGCAATAATTTATTTTGTTAATTTGTATCACAGGGGAAACTGTTACTATTGTTGGGGATCATGATCCTGCATTGCTTAGATACTTTGATTGCACGCGCTCTGGACCACGCTCAGCTTTTGATAGCAATGTTGTTTATCAGTTTGAGATTATGGAATATGTATGTTGGTATCTTTAGCACTGAGCTTCTATTATGGTTATGTTCTTCAAGCTTGTAGTTAAGTTTACTTAATTATTTAGATAGAAATATGAAATTTTGAAGCTCCATCTGCACATTTCAACTAGTGCAAGCTTCTCTGAGTTGTGCAAGAAAGAGAACATGAACAACAAGAAAAGTCAATGTTAGTAGAATGATGGTTTTGGTTCTAGCACATTAGAGATCGGGCACTTGAATGTCCCCATTCAAGTTGTGAAGTTTTGGTTAAAAACATGATATGGTCAAGTATTTATTGTTTTGTTCTTCTCTCTCACTCTATCCATTTTTTCCAAGATAAAGCATGTGTTTTTGTGCCTGAAACATGTCTATGTTGTATGCACAAAGCATGTTCATTTACCACTTTAAATAATGGTGGCAAGAATTATAGTTTTAAGTATTCAACATTTGGTTTGTAGATTCTTGACTTTGGCTTTGATCGGCTTGGTGCGAACGGACCAGAGGTACGTAAATAATTTATTTTTGAGCTCACAGTTAAACCATTCTAATTGTATGTTATGTTTTAAGCTTCCACTGTGTAAGAACTAACTCCTTTTATTTATTTTGGTAAATGTTATTATGCTATATTCTAAAGGCTACTCTTGTTTGGGTGTTTCCAGTTACCTTTTTTTTTTCTTTTTGAGAGGAAAAAGTGGTACTATAGACAAGGACACTAAGGGAGTGCCATGCATGTCCAAAAAACAAAAATTTACATGGGAGGATCATACAGAAAGGTTTTCAAGATATTTTCCGATGAGAGAGGATGACCTTGAAAAAAATACGTAAGGTCTCAAATGAATGATCTCTAAATCTAGAAGAATTAGTAGTCCAGAAAGCAGCTTGAGTAATGGGGCGAATGTCTTTTCTTATATCAAGAATTTTTTACTTTCATCTGTATCAGCTGGGATTTTAATTTTCTGCATGTGATTGCAAATGGAGGGTTGCCAGTAGTAATACTTGAAGAAATTGTTCAGGTTTGCTACCGTAAAAGATTATCGTATTTGGCATGTTTTCAGTTAAAACGGGTTTGGTTAAAGTGCATTCTAAGGCACCTGTGACTTTTGAAAACTGCATGAGAAGGAATTTATTTTAACTTGATTTCTTAAACTGGATCAGATTGTAAAATTTGTTGTGCTTGACAGTTGTGTGTATGATATGCAATTTTAATTTCTTGTTTTCTTTGCCGCCTTTTTCTGTGGACACAAGTTTAAATGTTGCATATTTTACATTGTATGGTTAAAGCGTCAATGGTTCTTGCTTTACTTGTTCATGGGTGTTTTCTTAATTATGCTCATAAGAATTTTTTTTGATCGAATGTTAATTTGAGGCCAGAACAGGTTAATCATCCTGTCCTAATAACAGAATCTGTATGCAATCCTGTTCAGTCCCGTTGCAAAATGGCAGAATTGCTATTTGAGACATATGGAGTTCCATCCGTAGGTATGGACTCTGAATTTCCATTATACGAAACACTTTTTACACTTTTGACAATTAGGATTAATGTAATTTGACAGATGCATGGTCCTGTATCCATATGTCCTGAATTGACTGGGAATGGCATGTGATTATTTCTGAATTGGGTGTGATCATCCCATTTGCATCTTTTTCATGATATATTCTTCTTTCAGATATCCTTTATTTGACATGTTATCTGTTTTTTTATCTACACTTTCTGCTTGAATTTAATTGGCCTTTTTTCCCTGTCACAGCATTTGGTGTTGATGCTGCTTTCAGCTATATGTATAATCAACAACAGGGGATTTGTGATAAAGATGGTCTTGCTATCTGCCCAGGATTCACGACGACTCATGTTATACCGGTATTGCCAGCATGTCATGTTCCATGTTGTGTCTCATTTTCCCTCTTTTATTTCCAAAAAACAAAAACATACTGTATCCACAAATGTTTGTAAAATAGACAAAAATCAGAATTAAATGATTTTCTTTTCCTATGCGGACATACACGTGCTTTCAATTGTGTACATGTCTATGCCCTTCTGTATTCTGCACACAAACATCTAATGTTTGCTTCTAGTGATAACAGTGTTATCTGATTATAAGCGAAGTGCCGACTGGAGTGGATCATTTGTTTAAATGTGTTTGTCATCATTGTGGGTGATATTGTCAGCATGTTGTGTCCCATTTTAGGAAATCTATTTTGTATTTCAATACATTCTATATCTAGAAATGTCTGTAAACTAGACAAAAAATCAGGATTAAATTATTTTCAATTTTCCTGTGTAAAATCAGGATTAAATTATTTTCAATTTTCCTGTGTGCACATTCATGTGCTTTCAAACGTGCATGTGTGTCTATGCCCTTCTGTATTCTGCAGAAACATGTTGATGACTTCTTTCTAGCACTTTGCCGAACATCTTCTGTTTGCTTCTACTGTAACAGGGTTATCTGATGGATGAATTGCTAAAGTATATTGCTAGCTAGAATATTCATCAATTTTGTTGGAAAGTATTGAGTGTATTCCATTCTTACAACTTTATAAGTTACTCTTGATGCATATTTTCTCTCAGTAGGCTAGATGATCAGTAGGATTAGAAGTTGAAGTTGACTACGATTGTGATAAATATTTTAAGGATTCAGAGTTTAAATTGTCATCATTTGATGATGAAAAGTGTTTCTCTGATGTCTAGTTTGTCGATGGAGAGCCTGTGTATAGAGGATCTTGCCGAACTAATATTGGTGGATACCATGTCACAGATACTCTAAAGCAACTTCTTTCCCTTAAATATCCACACCACATGTGAGTGATAATCAGTCTGGGTTCTCAAACTATTCAACATGATTCTATCTTGTTTTTCAACTTCCAATCATGCCCTTGCATATTCACAATAGGGCTAGGTTTACATGGGAGAAAGTTGAAGACCTGAAAATGGAGCACTGCTTTGTTGCCCCTGATTATACTTCAGAGGCTCAACTGTTTCAGGTGGTCAGCTTTGTCTTTCTCTTTGTCAATTCTCTTTTCAGTCTTTGAAGCTTAGCTGCTTTATTATTGTGACAGAAAGGGACCAAGGAGGCTGAAGATAAAACAAGGTGTTGGCAGCTTCCATGGGTTCCGCCTCCTACTGAAGAGCCTCTTCAGAAGAAGAGATTGCAAGAAAAGCAGCTATAAAGGAGAGGCAAGGTCAAAGGCTGCGAGAAATGGCTGAAGCAAAACGGTCTTCTAGGATAAACGAACTAGAAAATGAATTGCATGGTTTGGAGTTTCTCTTGCATCAACTTGAACAAGTGGAAGAGGATGACATTCAATCTTTCTTGTCAGAGACTGGTTATGTTTCCAAGCAGGAAATAGAAGCTTCCATTGTCAAAGTAACACAGTCTTTACGGAAAGCTAAGGGTGAACCGAAAAGTGACCAAACTGAAAATGAGGAAAAAACAGATAATTCTACAAATGACAAATATCCTCTTATTAACACCCCCGACAATATGCTTACTCCTGAGCAGGTTTGATTTAATACCAAACAGTTATCATAAAGATGATCTCCTAAAGTTTGCGGCTGGAACTTTGATCTGCTGCTCACATTGTTTCTTTATCCTCATTATATATGTTTAGTCTTATTATTAAAAAAAAAATGATTAGTCCTGGTTATCATTTGTTGACAGCTAAAGGAGAAAAGGAGACAGATTTTCCTTAAAACCACAAATGAGGGTCGGCAGCGAGCTAAGCAGAAACGCTTTGAGGAAGAACTAGAAAGAGAAAAGAAAAATCAACAAGATGAAGAGAAGCGATTGTAAGTTCCATTCTTATTATTCTTTTGAGTTTAGTGCAATTGGAGCTTCACTGTTAGACAGAAAAGCATAGTCCGATGTTGCTTAAACTAAAGTAAATTCCAGTTGAGTTGATGTACACCTGTGTGTTCAAGGGGAAACTTCTTTTTTAAGAATCTAATTTGAGATAGTGAGGAGTATTCATAGTTCATGTTGTAATGGGTGCTGTTGGTTCTTGAGTCAATTTCTTTGATCTTGGAATAGCGTAGTGAATGTTAATTAATATGCTTTCTGCACCTATAACATCTCTTTAATGTTTGTTTCCCTCATTTATATTTTTGTTTGAATGTAGAGAGAATCCCGAGCTTTATTTAGAGCAGATGCGGGCTAAATACAAAGAGCTTTCTGATAAAATTGATCAGCGAAAACGACTTAAGACAAATGGAAACAGCACAAATGGAGGTGTTGGCCGTGGGGAGAGATTGAATGCTGCCCAGAGGGAAAGGATGCGTCTCTTAACAACAGCAGCCTTTGATCGAGGGAAGGGTGAAGACACTTTTGGTGCCAAAGATGAAGATTGGCAACTTTACAAACTAATGAGCAAAGATAACGATGAAGATGATGAGGGACCAGATGACGATGAGACAGAACTGGGCCGAATCTCTTCTAGGCTTCAGGTCAGTTACCTCTGTGATGATATCCGCCACTCTGCATTTCAGATAACCTGATGGAGACATGGATTCTTTGTTAGTTCACTAATTTTTATGGTTGCAGGAAATTGACCCTACATTTGTTCCCAAACCAGAATTAGCACACGCTCAACCAGCTGCTGAGATGCCACGATTCCGTCCTCTCTCAAAAGAAGATTTTCAAATTGTGCTAGGGGTTGAAAGGTTCCGATGCCCTGAACTATTATTTCATCCAAACTGGATTGGGATCGATCAGGTGGGCTTAGACGAGATGGCTGGAGTTTCAATAAATCGGTTGCCATCAAGGGACCAAGGCCTGGAGGATAGATTGACCAGTTCTATCCTTATTACTGGTGGGTCCTGTCTTTTCCCTGGTATGAGTGAGCGCTTAGAAGCTGGAATCCAGATGATACGACCATGTGGTGCGCCTATCCGGGTGGTCAGAGCATTAGATCCAGTGCTTGATGCATGGCGCGGAGCTGCTGTTTATGCTTCTAACTTACGGTTCCCAGAGCAGACATTCAGTAAGACAGATTATTATGAGAAAGGTGAGGACTGGTTGCGGAGATACCAACTGCAATATATACTCTAATTTTTATTTTTGTCCTCCAATGTAAATTTTCTTAACATGAGCTAGTGGTAGATAATTTATGATATTTGACCTCCGACAATTAATGCATTAATATGTATTTGTTTGTAAAACAATGAGGCAAATGCAAGCTATGATCATGTCCTTGACAAGTTTTCTCATGATGTGAGAAGGCGTTGAATCTATTTCCATTTTTGACATGCTCAAATTGTTGGCACTTGAACCTCCTTTGAGCTTGAGCTCTGTTAGGAACTGAGAAAAGTATTTTTATGCAATCTACTGAGGTTTTGCTTTGTACCGCTGTGGAGAGGAGGGATTGAGAAATTTTTTATTTTTTTATTTATTTTTAACAAGGGAGATACCCCGACACCATGTATACATTTTCTTTAAAGTATCTGCGGTATCTTCATATTTACACCGTGAACTTTAATTACTCATCATAGATCAACTAAAGACTTTTAATTAAAATAAATATTACATTAATCTACTATCAGATAAAGATAATAGTTTGGTACATTTCTATAACACACAAAAACTGTTTTAATTATCAATCTACAAATAATTACTAAATAAACCAATCTTAATTTAATATTTTGTTACAAAATCTATTCATAACAGACTTCAGCAGTAAATATTTACATAATTAATTAAAATGTCTAAATTTTTTAAGATAAAAATTATATATTTAATATTAATAAATAAACGGTCGTAACAATATTACCGATAATTATATACTAAAATAAGATAATATTACTAATATCTAAGTACTCTTTTTGGAAAGTAAAAAATGAAGAGAGTTAGCTAATCACCAAAAACAAAATCAAAAGCAACGGCTATTTTACCATTTCTATATGGTAACTTAGCCCTAAATAGCCAGCTCTTTTGAGCTATCCATTCATGGAAATCGACCGTTACAAAAACCTACCTTTTCTATTTTTCCTAATATATTTATACAAAAACCGCTCCTCTGTACCCTACCCAGAATATTTTGACCGTTGCAATTCTTCTTCTCTTCTTCTTCCCGGAAAAGAGCCCTCTTTGTTTGATTGCAGAGAAAGGCACTTTTCATCTTCTCCATTGCTCCATTGAAACAAACAATCAAACGGACATAAACCCGAGCCGTTTTTTACCCGCTAAACCCAACAGCTCAACACAACGGAGAGGATCGAAAGATATCCAGAAATGGATTCCGAACAGAGAAGGAAAAGCGGCATTAATCTCCCAGCTGGGATGACTGAAACATCGTTGCGTCTTGACACATTGTCGGGTTCCTTCCGCGCGACGTCGAGCTTATCTTCTCCGTCTTTTCGCGGGATATCGAGCTTGTCTTCTCCGTCGAAGTCGTCATCTTGCAGCGACAGATTTATTCCTTGCAGATCTTCTTCAAGGCTGCATACTTTTGGGTTGATAGAGAAGGGATCGCCGGTTAAGGAAGGGGGCAATGAGGCGTACGCGAGGCTGTTGAAATCTGAGCTTTTCGGATCTGATTTTGGTTCATTTTCTCCTGCAGGTCAAGGGATGTCTCCCATGAGTCCTAGCAAGAACATGTTGAGATTCAAGACTGATCATTCGGGTCCTAATTCGCCGTATTCACCTTCGATTCTGGGGCAAGAAAGTGGGTTTTCTACCGAGGTCTCTACCCCTCCTAAGCCACCTAGAAAAGTACCCAAAACTCCCCATAAGGTCTGCATCTTTTTCTCGGTGGTTTTCTTTTGGAGTCTTCCATTTGTTGACTGAGAAAATAGGAAAAAGAAAATTTTATCTATTCTGAACGATGAGGATAAGATTTTCCAGTTCTTTTTTTTTTCATTATTGCGGGTTTTGATTTTGAAGAGAACATCCAAATCTAGAGGATCATTGGTTTGTCATAGCAATTTTTGCCCTTGATAATTATTTTTTTGTTAGGTTCCATCTGCTAGCTAAGAAAATGGAAAAAAAAAATAGATCAAATACTATATAGATTTATCAAATATGAGTTGTTATTTCTAGATGTGGTAGATGGAACGAGTGCAAATGTATGATTAAAACTTGAATGGCTGCAGGTTTTGGATGCTCCATCACTTCAAGATGACTTCTACTTGAACCTGGTAGATTGGTCTTCACAGAATGTTCTTGCAGTTGGGTTGGGTACTTGTGTTTATTTATGGACTGCATCAAATAGCAAAGTAAGCTTGATTCTCTCTCTCTTTTTGTTCCATTATATGTATTGACAAAATCTATGTAACAAATCTATAATCTTGGTATCAGGTGACAAAGTTGTGTGACTTGGGACCTAGTGATGGTGTGTGTTCAGTTCAGTGGACAAGGGAGGGTTCCTATATTTCCATTGGTACCAGTCTTGGTCAAGTTCAGGTACTAAAAATTGCACAACTTCGTAATTTGATAATCTAATTTTGTGTAGAATTCTTTATCAAACCTTTTGGTTATTCTCTTTATAGGTATGGGATGGAACTCAGTGCAAGAGGGTCCGGACAATGGGTGGACATCAGACGAGAACTGGCGTCTTGGCATGGAATTCAAGGATATTATCATCTGGGAGTAGGGACAGAAACATACTTCAACATGACCTTCGTGTACAAAGTGACTTTGTTAGCAAACTTTCTGGACACAAATCTGAGGTAAAGCCCTGAACGAATCCTTAGATTTCAAGTTTTCAAAGCTAACTGGAATCCGAGTTAAGCATTGAAATCCTCTAACTCAGAGCGAATTCATTATAACTCTGCCTCATTTACAGTCCTATTTAATTAATGTATCAGGTATGTGGGTTGAAATGGTCCCATGATGATAGGGAACTTGCATCCGGTGGAAATGATAATCAGGTAATCATTAGCTTCAATTTTAACCCATTTTATTTCTTTCATTTTTCGTTCTATCTTTTGCAAAACTTCCAGACTTCTAATACTGTTGGTGGGCGGTGATCAGCTCTTGGTGTGGAACCAGCATTCTCAGGAGCCTGTTTTGAAACTAACAGAACATACAGCAGCTGTCAAAGCCATTGCATGGTCGCCTCACCAGAGCAGCCTTCTTGCGTCTGGAGGTGGAACTGCTGATAGATGTATTCGCTTCTGGAACACGACAAACGGACATCAATTAAACAGTGTCGATACCGGCAGCCAGGTTTCTGCATCTAACCCTTTATCATTTCAATTATTAGGAATACTCTACTATGTCTCCAAGGAGAATTTTGTATGCTTTTGGTCGAAACACAGCACCACACAGTATTTTATCTTAAAAATTGTAATGCTTAAAAGGCTTAACTTTTACAGTAATCTTGATTATGCTTTGGAACTACCATCATAGCACCTCAACCATAAATATACCTTTGAAATGTAGGTCTGTAATCTAGCTTGGAGTAAGAATGTAAATGAATTAGTCAGCACTCATGGGTATTCTCAGAACCAGATCATGGTGTGGAAGTATCCATCAATGGCGAAGGTATCAACTTTAGTCTTCTTAACCCTATAAGCCAGTCTTGTTTCTTTATTTTTTTATCTTCTTTTTATGTCAGAAACCCAACTTATTTCCACTCTGGATTTTGGTAGGTTGCAACTCTAACGGGTCATAGTCTGCGTGTACTCTATCTTGCTATGTCACCAGATGGTCAGGTACTGAGATTCTCTACAGTGATTTATGTTTTTACTGCAAGTTTTCTGTATGTGAAAGATATTGAATTCAACAACTCTGCTTTATTCTGCAGACGATTGTAACCGGAGCAGGAGACGAGACCTTGCGATTCTGGAATGTATTCCCTTCTATGAAAACACAGGTATTTAGCTCCATTAGAATTCATTTTCAACATAAGAATTTCTCATTCAAATATTTTGGTTTGTAACATACATTTTTTGTTTCGTTTTACAGACTCCAGTCAAAGATACAGGCCTATGGTCATTAGGACGAACCCAGATCCGGTGATAAATTAAATTATACGGAGAAACAGCTTTTAGGAACATAAGTGAAGAGATTGGAAAATATAATAATTCAATTTTTGTTTGCTTTTCTGTTTTATGTAAGTGTATATAGGAATTCATAAAGACACACAAGAAAAAAGAAATAGATTCTGTAAAATAAAAAATAAAAAAAGAAGATTGTAAAGAGCTCTAGTGTAGTAACTTTTTTTGCTCTTCTGGTTTCTGGAACCACTTAGGAAGAGGAGGGGAGGGTTCTGTAAATTTTACCTCTTTTAGGTTTTTGGAAGCTACTCGTTTGTTTTTTTATTTTTTTTTGGCTGGAAAGGTTTTTATGAAAGAAATGTTGCAACAGATTTCATTACTGGGACTACAACAAATACTGCAGATTTTATCCTTAACTTTCTTCCATTTGAGAGGATGTGGCTGATTGCAAGTTCGAAGATATTTTTAAGACAGATTTTTTAGACAAAAAGAAATTTATAAGAAAACCCTAAAGTCTTTTCTTACTCAGTATATCCTTAACGAGTCTAATGAAATCTATGATCGACTATAACAGCATCGTTTGCCCATAATTACTATATTATTAAATTATTTAAAAGATGTTACAGGACATTTTCCATTTGAACCAACATATATAGTACAAGGCAAGCAACATGTCTTCACAATAAAAGATATGAATAAAATAATAATAACGTAACCAAAATTGATATGTTCCTTTTTCTTGTTCTCTCTTGAAATTGGCATCAGTAACTACCACCATGGGGGATCAACAAAATATTTTGATAAGAAAGACTGAAATTATCGCTGGTTTGCTGTGGTTGTTGTCACCGAAAGCTGAAGACAGGCAACAAGCAAACCATCAGCTATAGCTGCAAACCCTGGCAGATTAGATATATCTCTCTAGATGAAGATCTCGTAGCTTTCGGCCTCAGCCATGATGCCTTTGTAAAGAGTGGTTTGCAGATTGGCATAAACTCTGCAGATAGCCTGAAATAGTAAGAAGCAAATTCTTTTCTAGAAAAAATAGAACATAAAAGTTGACTTACTAGATTACTACTACCTTGTGCATCCTCACTCTCCAGAAGCTTAATGATAAGGTTACCTCCCGGCCTCAGTACACCATGATCAGCTGGACTGGAATGATATCCATTAACTTCTTCTCCTTTAATATCATTATCTGGATTAGAGTAGGCTGCTCGACCAACAGCCAAGTCAAGTGCTCGCATCCCTAACTCGGCAGATAAAGCTGCATCTTTAGTGGTAATTCCAGAAACTAAGGGACACATATCTGAGAGTATTACGGAAAATCCTTTCTGCTGCAGAAGAGGTAAGTCTATGTCATTGCATGAGAATAAGAGCATAGGGAGATACGTTCATGAATTGAAGATTTCTTGAGAGAGGCGAGACCAAACATACTGCACGGAAAATTCAATTTTCTACTAATAAATTAAACAAAAAGAAAAGTACGAAAAATTAGTATGTTGACGGCCTGGCTTGATCTTATATAGCAAGCAAAACCAGTAAATAAAACAATTAACAGTTTATATATTCAGACTACTTTTGAAAAGCAATTATCTTCAAAATTCCATGGACTAACATACACATAGTAAAACATTTATGATCCATTCGCTTCTTCAAAACACGTGAAAGATTATACATCCGAGAACTGGAAAATATTCAAGTGAGGTGAAACTTTACAGATCTTTCAAAGTGACTTATGTTCGAATTTCCACAGACTAATATACACATGTCAAACCATTTGTAATGGAAGTCGCACACGAATAAGTAGCTCAGTTGTTAAGTTTGAGGTTTCAATATAACTCCCATCTGCTTCTTGATACATTTGAAACATCATTGAATTAATATGTTTTCAAGCAAGACAAAACATGATATAGACGATCCTATATGCATTCATTTAAACATCCTAAATTCATTATACAACTAATGGAAACGAATGGTAAAGGCTATGGTGACTTTTCGACCATAGAATTTTATTTTCATATATAAATTATAGGATCAGTGTCATTACCTGAGGTGAGAACGCCCTAATTTTTGCTTTAGGTAGGTTCATAACATCAGCACAAACAGTATGAACCCTGGAATCACAGTGAAGAGGAGGAACCTTCACCTTCTGTTCTGCAAATCCCACATTTTACAAAATCACAACCAAAACAAAGTGCAACAAAACAGTTTCTTAAAAAAGTTCAACTACTCCAAAAAGAAAACACGCAATCAATGCCCCAAAATGGAAATAATAAAGAATCAACAAGGAAAACCAGACCTTTAGATCAATCCCCACAACGACCCCGCCATTCTTCAACGGACCTAGACTTTGGCAGGCAACCTGTAGGAAGTAAAGTTACCAAATGACACCACGAAAATCCTCAAAACCAATCAAAGAAACATTTTAACAAACAGAAAAAGCGCACGGGGAAGAAGAGAAGGTAACAGTTGGAGGTAAACCTGAAGCCAAGCACCTGGAGCACAACCAAGGTCAAGAACAGAGGAGCCTGTTTTTATCAGCTTGTATTGCTTCTGTATTTGTAGCAACTGTTCTAGCAAAAAAGAAAAAGGCAGAGAAGAAACTAGTGAATTCTTCTGAGCTAAAAGAAAAAAGGGGGAGTAGGAAAAAAGTGAAAGGCAGAATTAGGTAAACCTTGAAAGCAGAGCGAGCGACATAGCCAAGGCGCTGAGCTTCTCTGTAGAAGAAATCAGGTGTTCCTACTCCAGTCATCTTCCACTTTCTTGCTTCTCTATGGCGATGATATCAGCCCAAACGTTAAACCCTCATCTGGTAAGCTCCAGTCAGACAGAACCAAAAAAGGGTTTTTGAAAAATATATATAATATTTTTTCTTACTAAAAACTTAATTATGGTATGATTTCGTATGGTTCCGATAATTCAATTCTCCTTTTCAGTGAAATTTTATTTTATATTTTCAAAAATATATGTATTAATAAATTAAAAATGTTAAAATCATTTTCAATACAAATTAATTAACTTTTTTTTTAAAGAAGACGTGAAAAAATTTTATCTAATAAGAAGAGTTGAAAATTTATAATAAGAGAAACTTGATCACTTAAATTCTCTATAATCTATGTTTTTTTTTTTCTCTTCATTCTTTTATTAGTTTTTATTTAAACAGTGTTAAAATATTAAATAATTTTTTTTGCTTAAATTTATTCGAATATAATGTAAGTATTAATTCCATATCATTTTAGTGATAATCTCAAGTTGTCGTCACCCACCAATACATCAGCAGTAACTTCCTGCAAACAATTTTTGTCTACAAGTACAACAAGTCAATGACAACTTCCAGATTTAGATTTCAATTATATATACATACATATATATCTTCATAATCATCTACAGACTGTCAGACTACAATAATATATCAGTTTCATCTCTGATGTGCTTATTCCATGAAGTCATCACTAGCAAAGGCAGATAAAAGACACTGCCATTATAGTTTAAAGTAAGATAATTGAATCATTAACAAGGCAATTATACTCATGATTAAACTCTAAACATGTCAAAGTTACAGGCTAAGATTCTTAATCCTCCCCAGATAATTTTTTTGCAGTAGCCGTGATTCCTGTCCTAAAGATCTAGGAAGAAGAATCTGCACAAAGCTAAAAGTTCATGAATATGCATTGAGTTCACAAACTAAATATACGAGTTAAATTTTCCTTTCAAGTAACCTTCAAACGCAATACTTGAAGGTCCAAACCCTTTTCTTCCTTGCCATATACTTGATCCCACAAAGGAGTCCTCCACATAATTGAACCCACAATGGAGAAGGGACTCGTGCTAAGCATTTGTGGATGAGACTCTCTCTTACTTCATTGGTTCGTTCCATCTCTTCAGCCATTACCCAGTTTCTTGTTGTCCAATTTTTGGCTCTTGCAGGCCTCTCTTGCAACATGTTCCATATCCAACATCAAGGCCTGTGTATATACAAAAGGCGAGAAAGGGTCTAAATATTGCACTAGCTGATAGAATAAACCAAGATGACAGCAATTTGAAAATACCTGAATAAGATGGACTCACACACGTATTATTTAAAAACCAAGAACAAAAAGGCTATCATGTTTCAAGAAAATTGCAGCCTAAGAACAAGCAACTAACATTGCCCATAGAGTAACAACAAAATTTATCCTCTCCTCTTATGGAGATTCCTCAGAAGTTGCTTGACACTCACAGAGCTACTAGCTTATGCTCAAGTGACTGTTATTACCTCACTGTAGTGACCGGCATTTTTCATGTATAATGAAAGTATTTATCTCCTTAAGTCAATGTCCATGCAACATAGTCTTCTCTTTCTTCTAGAAAATCTATGACTGCTAATGGAAGCTGCCTTCAAAGGATCAATGCCCCCTAGTAATACGATAATCAGCAGCTAATATTCTATTCCATAACCTGCCCAAAAGATACAGCAGGCAATAATCACTAACGATACCAAGTTTACACATTTACTGTTCAAGTCAGTACATGCATCAGATAAAATTCTATAAATAATACATGTGTACATCATGTATATATATATAGAGAGAGAGAAAGAGAGATGGAGAGTAAAAAGGGTTTCAACTATCAAATACCTTGATAGCAGAATCCGATTGAAAGAGAGAGTGAAGTGTGGCTACGAGGAAAACCCAGGATCCTGCCATTCATGACTAACAATAAACATCTTCTTAACAAGCAGGAACCCAAGAAGAAAGTGCATAAACAATTCTTCCTTTCCATCCTTGAAGCAACCACTTGCTATCTTCCTCAATAACAAAATCTTTGTGATAGTTTGTAGCCACCCGCTCCTTTGTCATGCTTTTTATTTCCTCATTCAAAGGGAGCTGCCTAAACCCAGCCCTCAAATTCCGGGCCTGCCACTGCTTGTATGTCTCTGGTCTTTCAATTCTCTCAGCGCCTTCGCATGCTATGACATTCATGACTTCACGCCCAAATAGCTCTCTCTCTACCAGCATCCTCTCTTGAATCTCACGAGGCACTGTTGTCTCAAGCATGTCAAACAAAGTAGAGTAGTGAAAGAGAGCCTCCCGGAATCTTGTGATAAAGAAGGGTGCATTATAGGTCCCATTCACAATACCCAATATGAAAACTGTGGGATTTATTTTTCTTATCAGGTTTAGGACTTTATTCCGAGGACTATCCACCACCACACTCTCATCAAGTAGGTTTCTGAACCTGTACAAACAGTTTACAACAAGCACTTCATCGCTTTCAATCTTAAGATCCTCAATTTTAATTGTGTCCCACTTTTGAGCTATTGGACTGAATTCAAATGGAACTTTGAATGTGTTAGCATAGTTTGCTAAGCGACGCCCTGCCTCCTCAACCCTTTTAGCCGGCCGAAAACCCGGTTGTGGAAGATCTACCCCAGTGATCCGAAGTCTAGGAGGTCCCCCATGCCTAGATGAGAGACGATGTATGAGGCAGGGCCATTGAAAACCATAGAGAATACCAAAATCAATTATATGGAGCTTTGTTGCTTTCTCAGCTACTTTTATGATTGTCTTGTTTGAGAAGAAATTTGACATCTTCCTAAATGGACATGCAGCAAGAAACAAATGATAACCTTTCAAAACATCAGCAGCTGAAACTGGTTTATTAACTAAGGCAGCATAAGCCTCGGTTCCTGAACCAGCTAAGCGTGCCTCCAATCCAATAGCAAAATAGTGGGCCATCCTCTGCATCCCATCCCCCATGGGAGAAGAATGCTGTCTGATTTGTTTAAGAAGCTCACTTGCACTCCTATTGTCAGCAGCTCCAACAGCTTGTGCACAAAGAGTCACGAGAGTCCTTAAATCTACTATATCCTTTTTACGTTCTTGCTTCTTCCTACGAGACTTTCCGCCACTGGTCCCTGTTAATTGGCCGTTCTGCTGGGTGTTCTTATTTGTCTCATTTTGCCAGGCCTCACGAAGAGCAGCTTCTGTTCCACTTCCACACTGTAGCAACACCATATCATACATTTCTGGACTAACATTTGAGTCGGTAGAAAAAGCTGATTGTTTGCTCCTCCTCTCACTTTCAGTAAACACATCCTCAGGGAATGGATTTTTTCTCCCCCTCGATCCATCCAGTGAGCACTCTTCCTCGACCTTTTTCTCTGCCTTAACTACAATACACTCGGGCTCTTCTTTTAGATCTTTAATAGACAACCCACTATACCCAAGACCAACAGAGAGGTTAGTGCTGTTTGGAAGGAACTTACTTGCCTCTTCAAGCCCTCTCTTAAAGCGCGTGACAGACTCCCTGTCATCAAATATATCGGGAAATCTGATATTGCTTACTGGGGAATCCATGAACCCATATACAACATTAGCAGCACTGTTGGCTGAACCAGGGGATGACTGAGAACTTGTCTGCAAAGCAACACACAAGGACTTGTGCTCACCAAAATCAGAATTCCCCCCTGGATCTGCCAGGTAGCTAGGACTAACAACGCTAATGCTACTACTGCAGTTGCTGGTTAAATCACGTTTTTCATCCGGGCTTTCATGCTTTTGATCAACATTAGAAACTGACTCATGGTTAGGAAATGGAGGATACCACCCTGGATCTGTTAGGCTGCTAGTACTAACACAGCCAATGCTACTACTGTAGTTGCAGGTCAAATCGTGCCTTTCATCTTGGCTTTCATGCTTTTGATCAACTTTAGAAACTGACTTTTGGTTAGGAAATGGAGGATACTCTTCCCCAATAAGTTCATACAATGACTTCTCAGCAGCTTGAAGAGCTGCTGACGATTCTTGGAACATGCAATTCTGCTCTTCTATGTCTTCTTCCATAAGCATCTGGCTAATGTACTTCAGGACCACATCACTAAAATCATAATCTTCATGCGAATCTCCCTCTTGACTCACGGTCGACAATAGACTAGCTTTACTGGAGTTTGGATCAAGAGGTGAAGCAGAATTGACATAGTTTTGGCTGAAAACTATAAGATTTTGATTGGACGAGACCGGAAAAGTCTCATCATCAATCCTGAATCGGTTCAGAGAACCATAGAATTCTCCCAAGGGTTGATCCATGACCATCGATTCCCCTTCTCCCCCGCAACAAAATGGAAAGCTTACTCACAGCTAAAATACCCGGAATCCAAAATTTCAAAAGCCACTACAAAAACCGATCTAAATACTCAAAACTCTCAAGTTCCGACAAGAACATCAAATACCCAAAACCTGCAAACTTCAAAAAGATACTATCTCATCTTGAGTTTTCCACTTTCTCTATGAAATCTTGCATATCTAAAGTCCTGAAAGCAGTACCAAGAACATCAACACACACACATAAAACTGAGCCCAGAAGAAAGAACTAGATTGAAATTTAAAAAACCAAGACTTATAATGGTTAAAGAAAGTAAAAAAGGAAGCAACATATAAGAGTACATCATATATATACACTTCCACGCCACAAACCATAAATTATGCAAAGTAAGCAAAAGAGATAATTTCAATCCTGAAAAAACACCCATTAATTTGCAGAGCATGTAGCTGTAAATAAATGAGTTTTTTAAAAAAAAAAAAAAAGAAAAAGAAATGAGGAGAAAAGTACCTGAGCCAAGCCACAGAGACGGAGAGATTTGGACATGAAAGCAACAAGTCTTTTTCTGCTGCAAGCAATAAATCTAAAAGAGGCAATTTTAGTGATGAGGGTTTAAGGATAGCCGGGGGATCGGCAAAATCCTAGCCGTCCAATTCCCAAACTCGTCCTCACCGTTTGATTCTTCAACGACGTGGACATGGGTGGAAGTTCCTTTCAATTTCAGAAAGTCAAATGTTCAATATTTTAATATTTGAAAAAAAAAATTGGTCAGACTATCTACACAAAATCAGTAATCATTAATATGTCAATAAATTTGAAGATTTTTAGATGTTGTCAATTTACAAAAGTCAATATTTTAATAATTATCAGTTATACATGAAATATAAACCCACATACTGTGAAGGATAAGGTCAACTTCAAATTTTTAAAAGTAATTTGCTTTGGACATGGCATGGGGTATCATAATTTCCTTTGTTCTTTTCACAATTTTGACTCTTTTGATCATTTGATATCACAAAACATTAATATGATAAGGAATTGTTATGTTGTCAAAATGTCTATTAACATTATAATCAAAGATGTAACACTCAAATTCGAAAGTTTTTAGAGTATTTTTTTATGTATATGAAGCGTGTTTAATCTCTGTAGAAAAATTCAACAAATCTAGGGACCGCCAGGAAGTGCAGTAAAAAATTTAGTATTTCGGACACCGATTCGGATAAAAATCTCTCACCCTATTTCCTATTATGGAATTGAAGCTTAATAATCTATAATATGGTATTTTGTAAAATTTAGAAAAATTTAGAAATAATTACAGATCACTAATAGAGCCGGAACTGGTTAGTTATTTATTTATACTGTTTAACTGATTATTTATTTGTATAGTTTTAAATACATGATAATATATTAAAATAGTTAAATGATTTAGTTGTATTTCTTTAATATATATATATCACTTATTTTGCGTAATTTACGGTTGAT